TAAATAAAATATTATATAAAATTCTATTGTAATAGATAAGATCTAAAAATGTATCGATTTATTTTAATATTTATTTTGACAAAATATTCTTTAATATTAATTAGGGTATCTCTCTCATAGAAAGATGTAGAATTTTAAATAAAATATATAAAAGTGTCTACGGATATAAAAAAGTCGTAATAAAAATAAAATATAAAGACAAATTAATAGACACAGAATTGGATGAAAATCATCTCGTATATTTGCGAGTTTATAATATAATAAACATAAATCAAGGACGATTGTAAAATTTGAGAAATTATTTACAATCTCTGTTTTAAGGAAAAAATAATTCCTATAAAAATCATCGCGCTCCATCCCGAAGTGAACTTAACTCGACTCTAAAAATCGTTAAGTCGAGCGAGTCTCTCGGAAGAAAAGAGAGAGAGAGATAGATAGATAGATAGAGGGGGATTGCGACGACAAGCTGCGGAGTCTCTTTATCGAGACCGGGGGGCGTTTCGCGAGCAAGAGGAGCCCCGCGTCGGCACGGGGTCTTCCGTTAGTTCATCGTCTTCCGGTGACTTCCGGTGGCCTCTAACGAGGGACAATGCTCCTGGTGCACGCTGCGTGCACGCGGCGCACAACAATCGCGTCTCAAGTTCCTCCAGGCGGGAGGGCGGGTCTCGCTTCTTCCTCGTCTCCCTCCCCCCTCCCCCTCTTCCCCTATTCTTTCTTCCTCTCGACTACTTATGCCGCGTAACGCCGGCCCTCAATGACACATTAGAAGCCAGAGCGCTCCTGGAAAGCCGAGGCGTCTCGTGTGCGTGCACAGCATCAAGATGAGAGTGAAAGAGAGAGAGAGAGAGAGAGAGACCGATATGATTCTCGACTCGAACACAAATTATAGACTCCCGGGTCGACCGTTGACGCGACTCCGTACATCCATTCGCTATTTCGACCACTCGTGGGATATACGCTCATGCTTATGTACTCGTGCTCTCGTTGTTCGCCAGCGAGGCAAATGGCATTCACGGACACGCACGTCTCTCTCTCTCTTTCTCTCTCTGTCTCTCTCACGGATCTCGATCCTTTTCAGCGGATTGCACGCCTGGGCCTCGGGCTCTCATTCTCTCCTCGCTCGCTCTTTCTCTCTCGGTATCTTTGTGGGGAGACGTGCCAATCGCCTCTAGGCCTACGTCGAGGAGTCGACCACGCGAACTTTATACAGGAGGCCACTCGAGCGCGAGACAATTGTTTAGTCGCCTCGAGGACTGACTTATTTCTCTCCTTCCGCTTCTTCTCAATGAGTTAGTCGCTCTCCTTCTCTCTCTCTCTCTCTCTCTTTTTCTTTCTCTTTCTCTTCCTTCTCGCTTTCTCGGTCGGCTCGCTTCGTCTTCTTCGCGCGACCGTTAACGGTCGACGAAGATGTCGCCGAGTAGTCTGCTCTCTTTCTTGGCGTCGACAGATTTCCAATCGAACTCCGGGGGATAGCATAATGAGATATTGTACACTTTAAGTGCTGTGAAAAAAAATAAGTCCGACGAATATCGGAATTTTCTTTCCAGTTTATATATATTTAATTATCAAAAGCAATCTCTCTCTCTCTCTCTCTCTCTCTCTCTCTTTTTCTTTCTCTTCCTAAGTAAGAAAAAATTATCAGGAAATAACAATTTATAAAAATCTGTGGTAAATGCAAAATACACTGCGTTGAGATAACAGATTTAAATATCTCGACTCTTAATTGAACATTTAATCAAACGAAAATCAATACTCATTGTTAATCTTGATAATTGTAAGTAATACTGTGATACATGAGTCTCTCAAAAGACGAACTAATCGACCCCGTTTTTCCGTACATTTCTTAATTTTAGTATCAGAATATATGATTAACGTTTGATACTAATATTGATTTATTGATATGATAATATTGAATATGAAATTTTACCAAAATTCCATTGGTTTAAGTAGCAGAGCGATTAAGAAGAAATGAATTTTTCAATTTTTTTCATTTAGATACACGATCCAACGTGTCGTGCTTGGGAATCGCGGGATGGAGGGGTGGAAGGGGGGAAACTCTGTCTCTATCTGTCGCTCCATCCTTTGACAGTCGACACACCCGCAAAATTGCTTCTCCGTCATGGAAGCTCGGCCGCGCGGCACGGGAGAGACAATTTTTCGGGGGGACTGCGAAAAAATATTAATAACTCCGGTGTTGCAGAGTAGCAAAGGACGTAGGGCTCCCCGAGTAAGGGATGATGGCATGGCCGGGAACTCGGGTGAGCGGAGGCTGATGGCGGCAAGGGGGGGGGGGGGGGGGAGGAG